TATATATATATATATATATATTATACACTCGACATGCTTCAAAAGTTAATGCCTAATGACTCATAAATAACCACTATTTACCTTCAAATGTGTTAAGTTTCAACACAAATCACAAATTTCATATATACCGCAAAACCTTTCCTCTTAATTTTCAAAATACCCAATTCATACACTTTTGTCATACAAAGACAAAGAAGAGTAGACATCTCTAACACATGTCATATTTTATTATTTGTTAAAATTCAAAAAATAAAAAGATATACCTCCGCGATTAATGAGCTCCTTGATACGACCAACGAGGTGCAAATAGCCATCGGAATCAAAAAACCCGAGATCACCCGTGTGGAACCACCCGAATTGAAAAGCAGCACTATTCGCATGAGGGTTATTCTTATACCCATTCGTTACATTGGGTCCCCTAATGCAAACCTCGCCTGTCACCCCACCCTTTTGAATCTCACCCTTCTCATCCAATATCACCATTTCCTGGCCCACGGCCTTTCCAACGGACCCGGCCCGGTGAGGCCCATCATCCGGCAAAGGGTTCGACGCCATCAAATGCGACGCTTCCGTCATCGCATACGCCTCCAAAACCGGGGCCCCGAACGCCTCCTCCAACCGCTCCAGTATAGCCGGCGCAAGCGACGCGCTGCAGCTCCGAATAAACCGGAGCTTCGGGTAAACCGGTTCCGGATTTTTCAAGTGACGCTCCAATACGATCTGGTGCACCGTAGGAACCGCGGTGTACCACGTGGCCTTGTACCTCACCATGTCACTCCAAAACGTGGAGGCGGAGAACCTCCCCGCCGCCGGAAGCGCCACGGCGGAGCCGGCGGCGAGAGAACTCAGCAACGCCGCGATTAAGCCGTGGACGTGGAACAACGGGAGAACGATCACCGTCGAGTCGGACTCAGTGAGTTTGTAGACGGCTTTGATGTTCTCGACCGAAGAGGCTAAGTTGTGCTGCGTCAACGGCACGCCCTTGGGGCGGCTGGTGGTGCCGGAAGTGTGGAGGAAGAGCGCCACGTCGGACGGGTCGTTGGCGAGTTCGGAGAGCGAGTCGGGCGCTGACTCGGTGTGATCCAGAGAAAGAGTCAGCTCCTCAGCGAGAAAAGCCGTTGCGTGCGGAATGTTGAGCTTGGAAGCCGCCGCTTGAGCCGGCTCGTTCCCTTCTTTCGAGGTTACTAACAGCTTCGACTCAGAATCGGATAAATAAAACTCGAACTCTTCCGCTGTGTAAGCCGCGTTCAACGGCGCCGCCGTCGCTCGCGCTCGAATAACGGCCAAAAACGTTATTATAAACTGAAACATAAATCATTAATACATAAATTAGAAAGATTAAACGAAATAATATATAACATTATTTCTTATTTTTTGGCAATGAAACAGTGGAAGGAAAATAAAATGATTTAGTTAGGGTTTTGGACCTCGACGGTGTTGGAGAAGGTGAGGGCGACGACATCGCCGGGTTTGATGCCGGCGGAGAGGAGGCGCGAGGCGGCGGTTTCAACGAGGTGGTGGAGGCGAGAGTGGGTGAGGTCGAATTTACCGGAGACGGAGAGGGCACGGTGGGAGGGGAATATTCTGGCGACGTGGTGGAGCAATCCGGTGAGTGTGGTTTGAGGTGGCATTGTTTGGTAACTGGTAAGGTTATGGTAGGCAAAGGAAACGTGAGTGAATGAGAGATATATAAAGGATGAAGGATATATGCGAGTGCAACTATGCTTGGCGAACGTGGTTATGTGTGATACGAGGACACCCAATATATATTCAATACATTGCAACCGCACATAAGGGTTTCTGCCTAAACTTCATACTCATAAGAAGTTAACTTTATTAAATAAAAATTTCTATTTTTTACTTTTTGAGGAACTAAACTATATTAACGCATATATTAATTCTATCCACACATTGGTTTACATTTTATCAATTATTTTTAAATATATGACTAAGCTATCAACACGATATGCATGTATTTTCTTTTCATTTATTTTGTTGAAAGACAATGGATTTTTTTATTATTACTGCTCTCACCTTACGTATCTTCTACAGTTCTCCTCTATGTCTGGTATATGATGTGTATTTAATGTATTTTAAATATACTTTATTGTGGATAGGATTGTGCAAACGATGCTTTTTTTAATAATTAAATAAATCAGCTGTAAAAAAATTCAATTGATTTAATATAAATGGTATGGTTCGAATGCAAACTATTTTTCTAAAGTGATCTGATTCAGATTTTTCTCCAAATGCTTGGAAAACACAAGAATATATGTCACAATATTAATAGACAAACACGATATTTATTAATTTGATATTTTATCTTGTCTTATCTCTCTGTATAATTAAACTTAAATATTAATACAACATTAAAATAGGGGGCCGGTGTAGTTGGTAAGAAATGTGTTTAGCAAGATATTTGAAAAAATTATAAGTTAATTTTATTAAAATAAACTTGTTTAATATTAAAATTTATTTTAAGAACATATAATTTATTTTCACAAATCAATTAAAGTAGCTTATATCTTATAGGCTCTTTTTTTTAAATTATTCTCATTAATATATTTTAAATTTATTTTTAACTTCTTATTTTAAAAACTATTTCATCTATTTTGTCATTCTTTCATTCTCAATAACAAATAAATAGATTTGTCATTTTACATTGATCATTTAGCTTATGAGAAAATTTTAATAAATAGTCTCAATTCAATTATTAAACTTATAATTTTAACTTTTGAGCTTATAGTTTTTATACTTTCAATTAACTTATAAGTTTTCAACTAGCTTTTTATTAAAAAAAACAATTTTAAGATGTTTAATATTGTTCGGATACAACAAGAAAAACCAGTTTTTATGTATTAAATTAGCTTTAAACAAAAAAAAAATGTTGAAAAATAATTGTAAGTTCAAATTTCTACCTTCATAAAAATAATATATTTTAGAGAAAAAAAATTATTTACAAATTTAAGTTGTTGTTTCAAACATATAACTTATTTTACAAACATTTTTTTTCCTAAAAAAACAGTTTAAATGATGGATTATAAATTTATAATAGCTTTCCTAGACATACTCTAAACTAGTTTTACCAAACACAGATTGAGCTCACTTCCCATAAAAAAGTGAGTTTGATTTTTCTTGCCCATGTGAGAATATTATGAAGTGATAATTTATATTAAAAAAAATTGTTTTTTTTAAGTCTTGAGGAATCTTTAAAAGTTAAAACTCAACTCACCTACATTTTTCATATATATATAAAGTTACTTGATTTACTTTCAATAATAATCTATAGATTGGAGAAAAAAAAATGAATGAATCATTATTAACAATAATAACTCGGTCCACCTTATCTATTTACTTTTGTTTTCTAAAATATGGAGATTAGTTTGATTAAGTAAGAATGAATTATTTAAAAAAAAAAATGAGTATGAAAGAATTATTTGGATTATAAATATACGAATTATTTTGACACCTTACAGCGATGGGCCTGCCACAATTAATGACTGGTTGGGTTCATCGAGGCTCCCGCAGTTGGGCCTTGTTTACATTCCTTTCAACAAAATATTATTAAGTCATGAATCACATATCTTTAATTATATTTTATATGACATGTAAAACTATTACGATTTTTAGTAGTGAATTAAAAATCTTAAATACAAAACTAATCTCGATAATCTTAAATGAATGAATTACCTAATAATTTTTTCCTTTATGTTTGTTGCATATAATAGAAGAGTTCATGAAAGAAAGAAATAGACAAGAAATAAAGTGAAGAGAAATAAAAAAGAGAGTAATAGCTGAGTATAAATAGATAAGAAATAAAATAAAAATTTGATAGTTTAGTTGATAAAAATATGTGACAAATAATATTATGTATATTTAATAAGATAGAAAAAAATGTGGAAAAAATGTATAAAAAATAAGAGAGAAATAAATAAATAGAAAATAAAAAAATATTTTTAAAATTAACTTTTATTTCAATCATTTAAATAAAATAATTATATAAATATTCGAATGAAACAATTACTATTTGAAGGAAATAATTTCTACTCGAACGAAAGTTTCAAAACCCCAATTTGTATTTGAATGTTTTGAAAACATAATTGAATAAAATTTAATTTATTCAAATAAATAATAAAAAATTCCGTGTGAGTAAGTAACATGTTATTCGATTGTGTGTAACATTTATTTGAATACTGATAGTTTTTAAGCTTGTATTGTTCATTTCCGTGATGATTTGCGAAAAAATAAGAGTATCATGCTTTTTAATTTTTTCGTTGACATATTTTGCATCATCCAAACAACTTTCGACTTATATATTTTTTTTTCCTAATTCACACCCCTCTTCTTTATTTTATTTTATTTTTGGTAATTTTACTGTACCGATCGAACACGGTGTAAAGATTGACGAATACCGGCAGACTCGAGAACGAGAACAAAATTGTTGGTATCAATGCTTTCTCGTCACCATTTACAAGAAAACTTTCGGTGCATGATCTTTTCTCTCCATTTTGCTTTGATATGCAAAATCATGGATAGAAAAATAAATAAAATCCATCTAATTGTTTCAATAAATATCTATAACAATATATAAAAAATAATACACTCTTTTTTATTCACTTTTATTAAGATATTTATACTCTTCATAAAAAATTAACTATTTTCTTTAAATATAATAACCACCAATTAAAATCATATAAAAGTTTAAATTAAATAGACACGATCTCATATAAAATTAAAATCAATCATAAACTTTTTGATGATTTATAATGTGTTTTTTTTAACTATGTGATGTGTCACATAATTTTTTTTTTTCCTACTAGTTACCAATAATAACAATTAGAAGTGTAAGGGGATTGAGTTGGATTGGGTTTAGATAAATCTGTTATATGATCCAATCAAAATTTAACAGATTGGGTTGGATCGGATTTGTGTAATTTTTCTTAAAAACCTAATTCAACTTAACTCAATCATGAATGTATTAGGTTATGTTGGGTTAATATGGTCAACATAATTATATATGATCAAGTTAAAAATATAAAATCCATTATTCAATCCATACAATTAGGGGTGTCTAAATTGCTAAATTTAATTAAACTAAAAGAAAACTAAACTAAACTATAATAAATAGTTCACAAAACTAAATTGAACTAAAATAAATATTGATTAAACTAAACTAAACTAAACTATTATCTAGTTTAGTGCACTATAGTTTTAGGAGTTTGAACTAAACTATAATATCAACTAAATTAAATTATTATTAACTATAAACTAATTACATTGAACTACATTAAAAAAAAATTAAAATAAATATTTTTAAATTGGGCTACCAAATCATTGATATTAATTATGAATTAAATTGAAAATAGTTTGAAATGTAAAACAATAAAATTGATAAAAGTTCACATGATAGATTTTTCATTCATATTTTTTGAAAATCAATCAAATCTTATTAATTTTTAATCAATTTACTGATATTATTAATTATTAAATAAAAAAATTTGGGTGGGGAGGAGTTGGGATAGTTAGAAGCATGAGGACCTAGGTTCAATCCTCACTACAACCATCTTTGTAATCTTTCCTATCTTTACCAATAAATAAAAGAGTTTAAAAATAATATCTAAATATTACATGTGACTATCTTTTTAAGTTAATACGTTCTTTACAAAATAGTATGAGTTTTAAAAAATATTATAAAAATGTATAGCGTTATTTTTATAATGTTGTAAACTCAATTGTTAAACTCAATTAATTAATATTATAATTTTTTTTATTAAAATAATATTTTTTAGCATCAAAAATAAAATTACTTGGATAACAAAGAGAGAAGTTTGTACATACATATATAATACATTTTTTTTAATTTTTATAATAATTATGTTAAAAATATTGAAAGAGTAATAATTACGAGAGGTATATAAATTTTTATTCAATTAATAAATGAAAATTAATTTTTTATTTTATTTCTGTAAATGAATAAAAAAATGTAGTTGTGCATAATAACACTAAACTACTAGTATACTGACTCAAAAGTGGACAATAAGCAAAATTGAAAAGTTACGAGAAAGGTATTAATAATAAGAATTCAGTTTTATTAATAGTTTGTTTTAACAAACTACTATTTAGAAAATAATTTTAAATTTATAAAACTGAACATAAAATTCATTTTAGTTCAATTTTTATAAAAATAATTTAGTTTTTTATATTTTAATTCAATTTAATTATTTATTAGTTTAGTTCTAATTAATTATTTAGAACATTTTCTAATTATAAGTTTTTTTTAATAGTTAAAGTGCACTAAACTACTTTTTATAATAGTTTAGTTTTTAAAACTAAAGTTTAGTTTAATTTTTATAAAAATTAATTTAGTTTTTTTATAGTTTAGTTTAGTTTTTACAATAGTTTAGTTTAATATGGTTTTTTGAACATCCCTACATACAATACTAAAATTTGATCGAGTGGGTTGAATTTGATGTGAATTCATTAAGTTGATTTGACAACATGATAACTAATAACAACATGATACCTAAAAACTTCTCACACAATAAACACTTCATACGCTCCCGTAAATTATCCATAACAGTTTACACCCCTAATAACAACATGATAAGTAAAAAGAAAAGATTGCTAACATTTTCTAGAATAAATTTTCTATCTTCCCATTTTCATAGTTGGAGGGAGTGCTTAACGAAAAACGAGAGTTGACTTGGAATTAGCATTTGTTGGCCGTTGAAGTCTTCCCACGAATTAGCGCCACTGCCGCAACACAAGGATAGAAGTTCACATCTATTTTCTTTATTCACCCTTTCCCTCTTTTTCTTCAATTACGATTAAGCTTATATATTATTTATTTACTGAATTTACAGTGAGAAGTGGTTAGTGGCTATTGTTCTAAATTTGATATATATATATATAAAAGCATAATTAACAAGCAAATTTTTATGTATAGTTTAATTATTATAATATAGTGAAAGGAAGTTATACCTTATTAATGTGGAGACCACATATTGTACAAGAAACTATATAGCGCGATCTTACATTAATCGGAAAACTCCAACATATATATATTTAGGTGCAACTCCATTATTATTTCAAATATAACATAGTAAGGCACTCTCGATTCCTATAATATATTTTAAGTTGTGTAACACGCTACTCTGATGAATTTCCTTTGTGTGTTCCAAAAAAGCTAGAGTCTAGTTTGGTGGGAGTGAGGGAGGCTCAATTGTGAACGCCACAGGGATGCTTGGACTTGGAGGAGTAGCTGTGAACTGCACAGAGTTGACAGGTCCAGGTGCCACAATTCCAGAGCTTCTCAGTTCAGCCATTCCTCTACGAGCATTCACACCTTGCACTTCACACAGGTTGGGAAGAAACACTCCTACACACACACACAAAAAAAAGAGAAAAAGGTTTAAGGTTAGACATTATAAATATTGGAGATCCCACATGGAATAATATGTGTGTACCTTCGCCAGCTGCGAGATTGAAGTAGAGGTCAACAACGTTTGGGCAGCACTGGTAGCAGTGAGGGGAGCAGAGTTTTTGCGTGAAGCGAGATTCGAGGAGAGAGTCTGAGGAGATTCCGAGGGATTTTCTGTCCAAACCGCAAGCCTTGATGCATTGGTCAGTTTCGATGTGGTCCTTGAGTTTATCAGCTTCAATCTCTGATGTTCTGCATGTGTACGCCTCTTCGCCACTCCTTTTGACGCGCTTCTCCAGCACACATCGTTTGCCACCCGATGACACGGCGAATGAGCACGTGTCATGGCTCAGTTGCTCACACTCTATTCCTCCTGCATGCACCCCGGCCCCATTCAAATATTAATTCATTCAAACTAGCCAATACAAATATCTTAAGGTTTTGGATATGTAGTGCTACTTACCAAGAGTGCCTTGCAGAGCGAGAAAAAATGCAAGGCCAAAGATCATCCAAATTCTCATGCTCAAGTTAGAGGCCATGGCTTGGAGTAGCAGCTAGAACAAGTGTGGCCAAAACTAACTATCTCGGAATTTGATAATGTGGTTGGAGGAATGTTACCAGACTTGGTACCTAGTGCATTTATAGAGGATTTTTCTACGGACCAATTAATGGAATTTGACAAAAAGAACGGAGAATGTGGAATTTTCAACGGGGATGATGAAAAGAAGACTAGTTTAAAAGTTACCGGACTAACCACTTACGGACTAATGCACGTTTTCTCCATTCAAATCAAATATGCTTTACATCATTTTTTCTCCTCTTCTCTTTAATTACTTTAATAATTATAATTAGATAGAGACATTTATATGAATTTAATTAAAACCTAATAATATTTAAATTTCCTAGCATGTAACAAAACATTACAAAAATCACAACAAAGTTTTAACCTAACTAATACATTTTGCATATTAATTCAATTTTTATTATTAGGTCAATCTTCAATTTTTATAATTAGGTCAATTTTAATGGTTTATGTATTAATATTTTTTTATAAATATTTTTATTTTTTTATTGGGTTTGTGATAATTTTTAATAATTATTTTAATTAATTGAATTAATAAAAAATTACAGTGATAACTCATTAAAAATCAAACTCGTCATATATCAATTTATTACTAAGATTAAAATAATATACATAAAATTTTAGATTTGAATCTTAATTATTATTATTATTATAATTTTTATAAATATAAATAAAACTCACACATACACACACATATATATGTATATATACTTTTTCTTTTCTACAAATCAGAGGTATCACGTGCATATAAACATAATCATATACTCGAGTTAACAAAATTACTGTGAATAACAAATTTTAATCGAAACTATTAATTAAATTAAAATAATTTTTCACTAATTAATTTACGTATTCGATGGCGTATATATTAATATTTAAATGACAATGCTTTTGTTTTCAGTTGCTAATTAATTATTTTGCATGTTATTATTTGGATTAGAGAAAGGGAGAAAACAAACACAATAGGAGACCAATTGTCTTAAAAGTTAAAAACAAGTTTCATATGAAGGGATTCCTAATAATGTAAAGTTGAAAACTCATTAAACTTGGTGCTCACGACTAGTGATTGGGATTGAGCAAGAATAGCTCCTCATCCAAAAAGTGCGATAACACGTCTTAATCTTATAAAAAGAAAATTAGTCCTGAATTTCTTGCGATACACATGCGATGGAATGAACGAAGTAAGTTTGAATAAGAGTCAACTAATAGCGCCATTAGTGGCGGACCTTCCACCACCCCTCCACTTGTCACATCACCGCTATATTAACTAACTTTGTTTTTCTTTCTTCCCTTATCAATGCCATCGTCATCACACGGACAATTATTCACACGTGGTAATGTCTTTTTTGCTAATTTTCGTTGATTTTGTAATTTAAAAAGTTATGAAAGAGAATAATTAAAGATTTAAATTTCTTACCGATGTCTGCGGGAGAAATTTTGTGTTATGGCATAGTCTACGGAACTGATTGTGTCTTGACCATGGCAAAAGAATTGGTGTGCATGAATCCCACAATTAGGGAGATGATCTTGGACCCTTTTGCCTCTTGTTTCATACCCACCAAACCTTTTTGGAAACTTGAGCGTGCGAGTGTTTCAAATTTTATTTGAGTAATGCTACCTTAGCAAAAAAATTTGTATAATAATTTGTTTGTTAAATTATATTTTTGTCTCTATTTGTTTTTTTTATTTTTAAATAAATTAATTTGGTTTTTAATTTTTTTTATAAATATATTCAATATAATTCTTTCATTCAAATTAGCACTCTCATTATTAATAAAATCAAACGTAATGACAATATTGAATATCATTTAAAAATTAAATAATCAAAATAAATTATTTAAAAATAGTGAGATTAAATTGAATTTTTTTAACAAAATTTTACTTAAATGACTTAATTCTTTTGACACTTGTTTAATTAGTTTTGAAAGAATTTTTTGTTTTATAAAATTCAAAATAATTGTGTAAATTAATTAGTTAATTTATAAAAAGTTGAATATCATGGGTTATCCTCTTATGCTCTGTAGTATTATGGTGAAAAAACCTTTGATGGGAATAAGAGGCAATTATAATCAACCGTAACACTTCGTAAAATCGTGATAAACATCTCTTTATTAATGGTGATTTAGAGGATCACTATTTATGGATGATTCATTCCATAATTCTTGGACTATTTTGTATTAATAAGGAGGAAGAAGAGATTGATGCTCATGCATGTAGAATTAAGAGCATGCATTACATTAATTTTTTTTTTAGTAATTAAATTAAATTGTATGAGTCATTGATTATTGAGGATGAATGAATATGCGGTAGTAATTAACACCATGGTTAGCATTATGAAATAACATACTCGACGATTGAATCGATAAAAAAAATAAACAGTCGAAAAATAAATTTTCCTATGGTTGGATTTGACCTCGCACGGCATAAGAAAACAAAATAGAGAAATGACATCTGAAATTGTACAAATTAAAGGACAGGAAAAAAGAAGAAGAAAGATAAGGTGGATTTTCACGTATACTGCACACACAGTCCTTTGCCAATGACGATGCACTTTCTAATTTTTTTTTTACCACCTACATGGTTGAAATATGGAAAATAATAAAAGCATAAGAAAAATAGGGAGGGGGGGGGGGGGG